GGAAGCTATTCTTTTCGGAAAGTTATTTCATTTTATGCAAAGCTTGTAAAACACTAACATTTATTTTTTTTTCTGGTCTATTCTACAGAACATAAGCTTTCGTTTGATGTATGATTCACTGCCATAGCCCTATTTCTTCCAAAGCTATTGTCATTTAAACATAATATTTTGAACCCTATTTTCTACTCTAATCCCCAGTTTTGGACATGATTGTATTTTCCTAATTATTGTACGTCATGGTCGGGTTAGTCATCTATTTATTATTCATGTACCTTTTTACACTAATCTGTAATCAGGATATCGGGAATAGATAGAGTAGTGTTCCAGTTGTCTTGTCTTCTATCATTCACGTGCTTGTCAACCAATCAGGTGATAGAACAGCTTTCTTCTCTCCACCCCACTTCGAACTACGCGTACTAGCTTCAAGGTTAGGTCGATCAGTCTATCGCGCCAAGGTCTTAATCTGGATTAGATAAGTATCCTTAACACCAAAAGTGGGTAGACAGACCAAGGACGTAACATAAACGTGCCCCAGTAATTTATTCAGTGTAGTAATCATACTGTTACAAGCAGGATTATTGGATTTGATATCTCAACTATATTCAGTTGTATATTTATAATTCAATAGAAGACTGAACATATGTTATTTTGGAATAAGTAACTAACGTGATTTATATCCCTATCAATAGTATATAGCTAAATTTACAACTGAATTAATTGGAATTCATTTGAAAGTTATTCACAGGTTAGAATATGAATTATGTTATATTTCAAATGTTGACACTATGAATTTCACTAGTTGAAGTCATGAGTCAATCAAAGTTTTTGGTGTACCCCGACTGAGACAGGCCTAAAGGCTTGATTCACAAGTCAGTGGAGCAACTTCAGGAGATGCAGTCCCATGGTAGCCACTGGCCAACGACTGATTCGTACTCCATCTGTTCCCTTAGGATCATGGAGCTAATGTGCAATGTTGGTTTGGAATCAGGGTTTTCCAACTCCCTTAGGTGGACTCTCCGTGTCCACCAACCCGGCTAAAGCGCCGGACATTCGCTTTTCGTCCTTTGAATTTTGAAAACAAAACCCGTGGTGCGAGAAGGTAGTGTGTAAGTCTTCTGTGTCAATGGCTGTAAACGCGTGGTCATGTGAGAGCATTTCGAGAGAGGAGCTAACTCGGCCTACCTTCGGCCTTACTAGAGCATTTAGGGGCGCATTTTGGATAAATTTTAAATCTATTGACTCACGTTCCTGTCAGGCACAAAAATTAACATTTGAGCAAGATTGAGCGTATATTTAGAATAGGTTTGTTTTGAGTAATAATTTATCTGTTTGACCATTTCCCTTAAAAATCCAAGATCAGAATCTCATAGAAGACGCTGTAATTATATTTAATTCGTTGAAAATGTTTTAAATCAAGTTTTACATATCATGTCTACTGATTGATTTCGCTAATATTTTACTGACCATGCTGAGATAACCGGACTAAAGCTGAATATTCAAGTTATAGAAGCGTAGACAAAACTCTATTCTATTCAACCTGTTGATCTTCCTTATCTGTAACAAGATTAATACTATTGTTAATTAAGTTTTTACAGCTGAGACTTTTGTACAAAACGCATGAGCCGAACCATAATCTAAGTATCTGTCAGAGTCTGTGTTATGACCTTGAGTCGCTTTTACCCCGTGATACTTGTTATGACTTGACCTTGGTCGGTGTAGTCTAAATTATGACCTTGACGCGTTAGGCTGAGTGGCTTAACCTTGAGTCTAATATGCGTGAGTTCGAGATGGGGTAGAGAGAACTATTCTAAATCCTGATTGGTTGGCAAGCACACACGTGAAAGAAGACAAGACAGTTGGAACACTAAACTCTGGATTCTCTGAATTCGGATTACTACAAAAATGTACATGAATAAATAAGTGCATATCTTGACCACGACGTAGGATAATTTGGAAAAATACAGTTATGCCCGAAACAGGGAATTAGGGTAGAAATTATAGTGCAAAATATAATGTTTAAATTACAATATTTTTGGAACAAAAAAGGGTATGCTAGTGAATGATACATAGAACGAAAGCTCGTGTTATGTAGAATAAGATAGGGACAAAAATAAATATAAGTGTTTTACAGGTTTTGAATGAAATGCAATAACGTCCCAAGAAAATAGCTTTCGTAATTGTCTGGGCTTCTTAATTCCCCGTTCATAACACCTTCCCCCTTTAAAAAAAAAGAAAAAAAATATGGTTAGTTACTATATACAGGTAAGTGCTGAGATATCATCATTGATATCTTCCTTCGGAAACGTATGTTCTCCTCTTTGGGTCTACCTGTAGAATATCTGGTCTTCTGCGTTTCCGTGATGCTTTCCTAATAGGACTTTGTTCAGGTTGCGTGGTCTTCTGAGTCGCTGAGCATTTTATGTCAAAACTGTCCAGAATGATTCTCCACATTGAGTCTAATTTCTCGGTTTTCTGTGAAGTGCCAGCATTTTCCAGTATGTGGTTGACATGGCGTGTCCACTTCTGTCCTTCAACTTCCACCACATACATTACGTTCCCTTGTCTCTTAAGTATGCGTCCACTGGTCCATTGTGGAGGTGAATATCGGAAATCGCGGACGTATACTTTTTGATTTTTCTGGAAAATTCTGCGTTTCGCCCCATGATGGCGATCAAATTGGTTTTCCATCTTTCTGTTTCTTTTTCCGATGTCTCTTTGCTGTGGTTTCATGGCATCGAGGGCAGTTCTTACTTTTCTACCAAACATAATTTCTGCTGGGGACATTTGATTTGGTGTTGATGGGTTTGGAGTTGTTCTGTAGACCAAGAGAAAGTCATCAAGAATCTCCTCTATCTTTCCCTCCCCTTTTGCCTTCAGTAGCGCTCTTTTGAAGGTATCTACAAACCTTTCGGCCTGACCATTCGATTGTGGATGGTACGGAGGTGAACGGACATGTTTGACTCCAAACCTCTTGCAGAAATCTGAGAAGATGGAAGAAATAAACTGAGTGCCGTTATCTGTCACGAGAACATCTGGAACTCCAAAACGGGAGAATAACTGCCGTAGCTTCATGATAGTCTGTTGCGAAGTGATTTGATTTATAGGAAAAATCTCCGGCCATTTTGAATAAGCATCAACACAAACGAGGAAGTACGTACCCTGGAATGGGCCAGCAAGATCAACATGTATACGCGACCAAGGTTTTCTGGAGATGGCCAAGATTGTAGTTCAGCTTTTCGTGGACACTTTGAAAGAAGTACATGAGACTCCGAAGTTTCACTAGCGCATACTTTGTCTGAAGTATTCGATTTGGAAATTTTATGAGAAGGCAATGAATCGGCGGTATTTGATTTGACATGGTGAGAACACATAACATTTGAATTGTTTGATTCAGAAAGATCATAAGAACATGTTTCATCAGAAGCATTTAATTCGTTAATATCCAGAGAGGATGATTCGTCGGAGGCATTTGATTTAGAAATATCATTAGGGATTTGGATAGAATCATAGGAAACATTTTGAGAACATACCTCATCTAATAATTTATTCAAAGTATCAACATGTGCAATCCAATCTAATCCCAATAGATCTAAATCGTGTCGATTTGTTAGATAACAAACATCTGTAAATTTGCTTCCCATAAGTTGAACATTGCATAGGACCTCTCCTGTCAACTTTACTATGTCTCCTGACGCATTTCGGGCGACATGTTCCGTCGGTCGGATGGATGGGCATCCTAACTTGTGCCATGTGTTCTTTGAAATCAACGTGACATCAGAAGCAGTGTCCAACTGAAGTCGTATAAGTTTTTCATTTACTAATAAATTTACGAATTTCCGCCTACTTTTAAATCCAACTTTAAAGGTTGCAAACGTGGTTTTAATTTGACTGTCTGATCGTTGCTTTGAATTTTCACTACGATGTTTAGTCTTGCGTTTATTTAACGAACAATGACCTTCTTTGTGGCCAATGCGATGACATTTGCGGCATTTATGATTCTTAAACGGACAGAATTTTGCAAAATGCCATGCTCCGCAGAACCAGCATGGTGATGGGGGGTTGGCAGGTTGTTTCCTGCTTGTACAGTTTTGTTTCGATGATTTTATGGATCGGAGCGCATTAATTGAATCAGAACCGGAAGGTTTAACCTTCTGTTGCACCATCGCAGTGTCATGCTTGAGATTAAGTAACCGCTGACATTCGGTTGTAACCATTTGTAATGTCATATTTGGTTCTTGTTCAATGCGTGCCAACATTCTGGTACGGACATCTGCATCTTCTTCATTCTTTAGACCACATATGAAAATCAAGCATTTAAATTGGTCCGCTGTGATTTCGTTTATTTTGAAGCGTTCGCACTGTCGATTTACCTTCCCGGCATACGTGAGATAATCGTCCTCTGGAGATTTCGTTATTTGGAAGCATTTATAGCGAGTATTAAATAATGAGGACTGTTCATCGAAAATATCAGATAAAATCTGGACTGTATCTTTGAATGATACATCTCGTGGATTTTGCGGCAAGATAAAATTCACATATTTATTATATTCCTGTGTTCCCAGTCTTCTTAAGAGTAAGCGGACTTTCGCTGCGTCATCAAGATGCGAGCATTCAACGCGGAAAATATCTTCACAACGGTGAAACCACGAACTGAAAATGATATTAGCTTCAGGATCATACTGGAATTCAGAAATAGAATTTATGATGCTTTCATGCTTATCTGATTGACAAGCTGAGGACGACTGTAATGAGAACATTCGTGCGAATGCATCCAAAAGCTTCGTCTGATTTGCCTCATTTTGTGCTTGCTGCATTTGAAGAATAGTTTTAAGGTCATCCAATGAAACAGGCATTTTGTACTGGATCAATCAATATAGGAAAGAAAAAAAAATTCTCCGTCGCCAGTTGTTATGACCTTGAATCGCTTTTACCCCGTGATACTTGTTATGACTTGACCTTGGTCGGTGTAGTCTAAATTATGACCTTGACGCGTTAGGCTGAGTGGCTTAACCTTGAGTCTAATATGCGTGAGTTCGAGATGGGGTAGAGAGAACTATTCTAAATCCTGATTGGTTGGCAAGCACACACGTGAAAGAAGACAAGACAGTTGGAACACTAAACTCTGGATTCTCTGAATTCGGATTACTACAAAAATGTACATGAATAAATAAGTGCATATCTTGACCACGACGTAGGATAATTTGGAAAAATACAGTTATGCCCGAAACAGGGAATTAGGGTAGAAATTATAGTGCAAAATATAATGTTTAAATTACAATATTTTTGGAACAAAAAAGGGTATGCTAGTGAATGATACATAGAACGAAAGCTCGTGTTATGTAGAATAAGATAGGGACAAAAATAAATATAAGTGTTTTACAGGTTTTGAATGAAATGCAATAACGTCCCAAGAAAATAGCTTTCGTAATTGTCTGGGCTTCTTAATTCCCCGTTCATAACACCTTCCCCCTTTAAAAAAAAGAAAAAAAATATGGTTAGTTACTATATACAGGTAAGTGCTGAGATATCATCATTGATATCTTCCTTCGGAAACGTATGTTCTCCTCTTTGGGTCTACCTGTAGAATATCTGGTCTTCTGCGTTTCCGTGATGCTTTCCTAATAGGACTTTGTTCAGGTTGCGTGGTCTTCTGAGTCGCTGAGCATTTTATGTCAAAACTGTCCAGAATGATTCTCCACATTGAGTCTAATTTCTCGGTTTTCTGTGAAGTGCCAGCATTTTCCAGTATGTGGTTGACATGGCGTGTCCACTTCTGTCCTTCAACTTCCACCACATACATTACGTTCCCTTGTCTCTTAAGTATGCGTCCACTGGTCCATTGTGGAGGTGAATATCGGAAATCGCGGACGTATACTTTTTGATTTTTCTGGAAAATTCTGCGTTTCGCCCCATGATGGCGATCAAATTGGTTTTCCATCTTTCTGTTTCTTTTTCCGATGTCTCTTTGCTGTGGTTTCATGGCATCGAGGGCAGTTCTTACTTTTCTACCAAACATAATTTCTGCTGGGGACATTTGATTTGGTGTTGATGGGTTTGGAGTTGTTCTGTAGACCAAGAGAAAGTCATCAAGAATCTCCTCTATCTTTCCCTCCCCTTTTGCCTTCAGTAGCGCTCTTTTGAAGGTATCTACAAACCTTTCGGCCTGACCATTCGATTGTGGATGGTACGGAGGTGAACGGACATGTTTGACTCCAAACCTCTTGCAGAAATCTGAGAAGATGGAAGAAATAAACTGAGTGCCGTTATCTGTCACGAGAACATCTGGAACTCCAAAACGGGAGAATAACTGCCGTAGCTTCATGATAGTCTGTTGCGAAGTGATTTGATTTATAGGAAAAATCTCCGGCCATTTTGAATAAGCATCAACACAAACGAGGAAGTACGTACCCTGGAATGGGCCAGCAAGATCAACATGTATACGCGACCAAGGTTTTTCTGGAGATGGCCAAGATTGTAGTTCAGCTTTTCGTGGACACTTTGAAAGAAGTACATGAGACTCCGAAGTTTCACTAGCGCATACTTTGTCTGAAGTATTCGATTTGGAAATTTTATGAGAAGGCAATGAATCGGCGGTATTTGATTTGACATGGTGAGAACACATAACATTTGAATTGTTTGATTCAGAAAGATCATAAGAACATGTTTCATCAGAAGCATTTAATTCGTTAATATCCAGAGAGGATGATTCGTCGGAGGCATTTGATTTAGAAATATCATTAGGGATTTGGATAGAATCATAGGAAACATTTTGAGAACATACCTCATCTAATAATTTATTCAAAGTATCAACATGTGCAATCCAATCTAATCCCAATAGATCTAAATCGTGTCGATTTGTTAGATAACAAACATCTGTAAATTTGCTTCCCATAAGTTGAACATTGCATAGGACCTCTCCTGTCAACTTTACTATGTCTCCTGACGCATTTCGGGCGACATGTTCCGTCGGTCGGATGGATGGGCATCCTAACTTGTGCCATGTGTTCTTTGAAATCAACGTGACATCAGAAGCAGTGTCCAACTGAAGTCGTATAAGTTTTTCATTTACTAATAAATTTACGAATTTCCGCCTACTTTTAAATCCAACTTTAAAGGTTGCAAACGTGGTTTTAATTTGACTGTCTGATCGTTGCTTTGAATTTTCACTACGATGTTTAGTCTTGCGTTTATTTAACGAACAATGACCTTCTTTGTGGCCAATGCGATGACATTTGCGGCATTTATGATTCTTAAACGGACAGAATTTTGCAAAATGCCATGCTCCGCAGAACCAGCATGGTGATGGGGGGTTGGCAGGTTGTTTCCTGCTTGTACAGTTTTGTTTCGATGATTTTATGGATCGGAGCGCATTAATTGAATCAGAACCGGAAGGTTTAACCTTCTGTTGCACCATCGCAGTGTCATGCTTGAGATTAAGTAACCGCTGACATTCGGTTGTAACCATTTGTAATGTCATATTTGGTTCTTGTTCAATGCGTGCCAACATTCTGGTACGGACATCTGCATCTTCTTCATTCTTTAGACCACATATGAAAATCAAGCATTTAAATTGGTCCGCTGTGATTTCGTTTATTTTGAAGCGTTCGCACTGTCGATTTACCTTCCCGGCATACGTGAGATAATCGTCCTCTGGAGATTTCGTTATTTGGAAGCATTTATAGCGAGTATTAAATAATGAGGACTGTTCATCGAAAATATCAGATAAAATCTGGACTGTATCTTTGAATGATACATCTCGTGGATTTTGCGGCAAGATAAAATTCACATATTTATTATATTCCTGTGTTCCCAGTCTTCTTAAGAGTAAGCGGACTTTCGCTGCGTCATCAAGATGCGAGCATTCAACGCGGAAAATATCTTCACAACGGTGAAACCACGAACTGAAAATGATATTAGCTTCAGGATCATACTGGAATTCAGAAATAGAATTTATGATGCTTTCATGCTTATCTGATTGACAAGCTGAGGACGACTGTAATGAGAACATTCGTGCGAATGCATCCAAAAGCTTCGTTTGATTTGCCTCATTTTGTGCTTGCTGCATTTGAAGAATAGTTTTAAGGTCATCCAATGAAACAGGCATTTTGTACTGGATCAATCAATATAGGAAAGAAAAAAAAATTCTCCGTCGCCAGTTGTTATGACCTTGAATCGCTTTTACCCCGTGATACTTGTTATGACTTGACCTTGGTCGGTGTAGTCTAAATTATGACCTTGACGCGTTAGGCTGAGTGGCTTAACCTTGAGTCTAATATGCGTGAGTTCGAGATGGGGTAGAGAGAACTATTCTAAATCCTGATTGGTTGGCAAGCACACACGTGAAAGAAGACAAGACAGTTGGAACACTAAACTCTGGATTCTCTGAATTCGGATTACTACAAAAATGTACATGAATAAATAAGTGCATATCTTGACCACGACGTAGGATAATTTGGAAAAATACAGTTATGCCCGAAACAGGGAATTAGGGTAGAAATTATAGTGCAAAATATAATGTTTAAATTACAATATTTTTGGAACAAAAAAGGGTATGCTAGTGAATGATACATAGAACGAAAGCTCGTGTTATGTAGAATAAGATAGGGACAAAAATAAATATAAGTGTTTTACAGGTTTTGAATGAAATGCAATAACGTCCCAAGAAAATAGCTTTCGTAATTGTCTGGGCTTCTTAATTCCCCGTTCATAACAGTCTGTTATTTTCCTGAAAACAATTATTTTCAACTTATTATTATGTCTTCGTACAACTAAACAATCGACAAACGCTAGTTTGTGGTCACTGGATTTATTTTGGCAACAAAATTATTTATTTGATTTTTGTTCTACATGCACTTCAATGATTCAGAAACTATTTTTTCAACTTTCAATTTGCATTTTTGTTTTATTGATTTATTCCTTCATATAAACACACATTAACACCGAATATCAATCATTAATAATTCGATCTTACACACACACGTACAATCCGTTCAGTCATTTATTTAGACATTGTGAACTTTTCACATGATTCTCATCTAACTTATTCGTGTCATTCTATTTACTAAGGTGAAGATGTAAATATGGTTGGATGGTGGATGTGTCGCTCGATTTCGTAGATTGGTTGAAGTTAGATATTAACACCGTTGGATGCTGGCACAGTGGTCTAGGGGTTAAGCGCTCGCGCGCGAGACTGATAGGTCCTGAGTTCGAATCTCATGAGGCGAGGTTGAGGAGTCCCACAATAGGATGAAACGGCCCTACAGTGCCTCCAGGTTTTCCATGGTGGTCTAGCTTCAGTTGACTCATTATCTCAACCATTGAAATTACAATAATATTCACAAACACCCCTCAAATATGATTTGATCAGCACAGGATTGTCAAACGGTGTTTATTTCTTTAATGATTTCGATTATTACTTGAAGAACTGCAGACAAGGTTGTTGGGTAGTGAATTTGGAAAAGTGTTAAAGGACTAAAAAATTGTATTTATTAAAAATCGTTTAAGTGGAGACAACAAAAGGGTATCGATTTATTGCGTTGGAGGGTGACCAGTGCAAGAAAATTGATTGTGGAGATTGTTGAATTTTTATTGAAATCATAAGTTAGTATGAATGAAATAACTAATAAAAAGTAGTAAGTACTGGATAGTTATTTGTTCAAAATATCGAACTACTCGGTTGTGCATATCCATGGTTCTACCACCTATGACCGAACCTAAGACGTTCAGCTTCGTTTGCGAACGCTTAACCTATGATCGCAATCCTAGTCAAATTTATTAGTCATTTCATCCCTTGAACTGACACATCATTTTCTCACTAGTGGCTAACTGTGATAAAAAATTTCCGGAATTCTAATAAGAAGCTACGTGGTTTACTGGTATAGAGTGTGAGGAAGGTATATATTAAAGAAAATAAATGATGGTCGTGAGATGTAGTGGATTGATTAAAACCCGAATTTTACAACAATACCTTCCATTTTTATAGTCTAGACGTTAAGCATTCTCATGAGTCACCGAAGGTCCTAAATTCGACCACCTGTATCAAGACATTAGGTTCACACGAATGGAAAGTCACACACTCAGTGGAAACAGCTGTCCATTGCTTCTAAGTTTTCAGTGATTATCTAATTTAGATCTGTTTTACAACCTCAAGAATATATTAATGTATTTAATTAGCTTAAATTCAAAACTGAAGGAATTGCTATGTATCAGTCAATTACAAAATAGATACCATAGCATAAAGCCAATATGCTTTGTCATTGATATATATATATAAAGAGATGTTAATTATTACAATCACAACCATAGTGTTATTTGGAGTAGAGTAGAAGTATAAAAACTCTTTACAATTTCTTGACGTTTACAACCGCTTACACAACTCAACTTGAGTTAAGAATCCAGTTTTTTGAGAACTCAGAATAAATGTTCTATTTCAGTATAACCTATAAATCTCTATACTTATTTCCATTATAGTTATAATTTAAATTCTTTCTATATATTTCATCTAGTTCATGTTAATTCATAGAGTCAGAGGAGGTTTTGTGGAGATTTTAGAAATTTCAATGGTTGAAATCATGAGTCAATTGAAGCTAGACCACCATGGAAAACCTAGAAGCACTGGACGGTCGTGTCGTCCTGGTACGGAAGTCCTCAGCAGTGCGCATCCACGATCGAGCCCCCCTTCCCACGAGATTCGAACCCAGGACCTGTCAGACTCGCGCGCGAGCGCCTAACCTTCAGACCACTGAGTTGACAGCGCGGGGACGGGATCGTGGATGCGCACTGCTGAGGAGTCCAACAATAGGACGGAACGGCCTTCCAGTGCCTCCAGGTTTCTCATGGTGGGCTAGTTTCAATTGACTCATGACTTCAACTAGTGAAATTCATAGTGTCAACATTTGAAATATAACATAATTCATATTCTAACCTGTGAATAACTTTCAAATGAATTCCAATTAATTCAGTTGTAAATTTAGCTATATACTATTGATAGGGATATAAATCACGTTAGTTACTTATTCCAAAATAACATATGTTCAGTCTTCTATTGAATTATAAATATACAACTGAATATAGTTGAGATATCAAATCCAATAATCCTGCTTGTAACAGTATGATTACTACACTGAATAAATTACTGGGGCACGTTTATGTTACGTCCTTGGTCTGTCTACCCACTTTTGGTGTTAAGGATACTTATCTAATCCAGATTAAGACCTTGGCGCGATAGACTGATCGACCTAACCTTGAAGCTAGTACGCGTAGTTCGAAGTGGGGTGGAGAGAAGAAAGCTGTTCTATCACCTGATTGGTTGACAAGCACGTGAATGATAGAAGACAAGACAACTGGAACACTACTCTATCTATTCCCGATATCCTGATTACAGATTAGTGTAAAAAGGTACATGAATAATAAATAGATGACTAACCCGACCATGACGTACAATAATTAGGAAAATACAATCATGTCCAAAACTGGGGATTAGAGTAGAAAATAGGGTTCAAAATATTATGTTTAAATGACAATAGCTTTGGAAGAAATAGGGCTATGGCAGTGAATCATACATCAAACGAAAGCTTATGTTCTGTAGAATAGACCAGAAAAAAAAATAAATGTTAGTGTTTTACAAGCTTTGCATAAAATGAAATAACTTTCCGAAAAGAATAGCTTCCATAGTTTGTCAAGCCTTGTTTCTCCGTTCACATCAGTTAAGTATAAAGATCGAAAAGGCAATGGAGCGACTTCAGGAGATGCAGTCCCATGGTAACCAATGGCAAACGATTGATTCGTACTCCATCTGTTCCCTTAGGATCATGGAGCTAATGTGCAAAATTGGTTTGGAATCATGGTTTTCCAGCTCCCTTTGGTGGACTCTTCGTGTCTACCGACCCGGTTAAAGCGCCGGACATTCGCTTCTCGTGGTGCGAGAAGGCAGTGCGCAAGACCTCTGTGTCAGTGGCTGTATACGCGTGGTAATGTGAGAGCATTTAGAGAGGGAGGGCTAACTCTTTCCACCTTCGGCTATACCAGAGCATTTGGTTGTTCATAATTCTTTTACATCTAGTTATTACAGAGTTGAATACTAGATCTCTCACGGTCATAACATACTTAACAGTAAACTCAACAACACCATCTACATGTTGATTCTGCATATTTTATATTACTGTCTTGATGAAGATATTCATGAAAGTTTTCAAAGAGAAAATTATTGACTCTATTCTTTATAAATATAATTAATAAAATCTTATGGTTGTTCCATAGACATAATGATGGAAGTAGTTAATGTTGAACAAATCTATTCTTATTCTACTAGTAAGAACTGTTTTTACTGTTAATTATGTACTATGCATGGACTGATAAATAACATTAGTACACAGTAGAACGAATATATATATACATATTGTTAATTGAACGCTATACTCGGTCCCTAAGCTGTTATCGTAACCCCCAAGCTAGGACTACACAGCGATCTGAACATGAGAGAAATGGCGCAAAATATTCGAGTAGCATTCTGGAATGCTACTAAACATGGTAGCAGTATAGTAATCAGCCAATCAGAAACTCTACATGTGACTTTTCACTTTCTTGATGTTTCTGGCTAAGCTTCAAGTGAACGCTGATTGGATAAAATGCTTCTTAGTGTTTTCCCGACCCTTAATTGTCTTTTGTGAGAAGTTTTCTGGATCACACCAACAGTATATTACATGGAAAGTGAATGAATACTAAAGTGTATTGGATAGCTTTTTACTTCGAATTGCGTATATTAATGGTTTCAATTGAAGATGGATAAAAGACTATTTTGGAAATTAAGGGACTGAGTCAAAATCCACATAGTGCGATATCACTGAGACAAAAGTTAATAGTTATGGTTCGATCGATCAAATATTGCTTACTTACGATAGTAATATCTAACAATGAAATCCATGTTATGTAATATCTAACACAGACAGTGTAAATCAAACAGATTATGTATGTGTATAATCCGAATAAATAAATATGGTCTGTTCAAGTCTAGTCGTTTTGGTTGACCTATAAGTTGTACTGAACAAATTATGTTGTTTATTATTCGCATAAAACATAGTACATTCAATTGTTATACAAAGTTAGTCAAACATATGTAATTACCTTAATACTTATCCAAGATATACACATAAATAACGAAAAGAATTTGAAGAGAGACAGATCAAATATTTGGACTCATTAGTACAGTGGTTAAATGAAGTTAGACTATTATAAATCAGAGACATTTTAACGAGTAATAAATCGATGAATCTACGATTTTTGTCCAGATGCTACCAATATCATATGCTGTACTTTATAGTAAGAACTATATCAGTATTTCATTTTGTCATAAATAAAATCAGATGATAAGCGATAGTTGGTCATCGATCAGGTAACTAGGTATTTAGCGACTTGGTATATATGACTTCAGTTAGATCGGATGAATGATTGTTATTGAAATATACATATCGTCTATTCTCATATATAATTAAAGACTTAATCCGCACTAATGAATAACGGAATTAAATAAATCAAATAAGAGAATCTATTTGGAATATGTATATTTCATGTACTCATTGATTTGTAATAGGCAATCAAGGAGACGAAACAACGACACAAGAGTGAAGCAAATTGGAGAGGGTGTATTGGCCAACTCGATTTATTCAAGTATTAATCGACATTTATAATGAAATAAAATTAAGTTACAGACATGTGGTGGGTAAGATAGGAAATATACACAAATACACTTACATAGAATCAGTCAATTTCGATAAGTGAATAATTGGGAAGGTTAAAATGTGACTGAAGAATGGTGAATAAATTGGCTTGTCTGGAGGTCAGAATAAGCTATGTGTGCTTAACATAGCAACCGACACTACAGGTTCCGCGTTACATATCAGTAATATATATCTGAAATCCTCAGGAAACGATTTTTTGATTACTTTCGATCTTTCTGAGTATACTCTATCAAAATGTATACAGCGAGCTCTTCCCAAACGCATAGCTGAACACAGTCCTTTGTGATTTTTAAAAGGCGAATGAAGAACAATCAATAGTTCAATACTGGAATATCTTGTGAACTTTGGTTACACTGACCCATCAGATATATCTTTCAATATCATCTATACAGTTGGATGAGTTGATTTAAGAATAGTGCATACAATAACTTGTCCACTGTAGATGCTGAAGATGCCACAGGTATTCGTTGTTTGACAACGCTTTAACCAGTAACACTTTCTAATATGAATCGTACCCACCAAGTGGAATCAAAAGACAGAGGCTAAGGAGGTTTGAAGATATGTTTGATAGGCTATCAATATATCAAGGATTGTCTGATCTAATCTGGCTAGCGATTGCAGGGGTTGTTAAGCACGGCGATCCCACACGTAATCTGGTGCGGATGCATGACCGAGCGCCTTCAGCTAGGTGAGTCCATTAAAACCAATGTGGTCGGCATCAAATGTCGAAGACTTACAGAGTTATTTATTTTGAGGATTTATTTACCGCTACAAGGCGTTAGAAATTCATCAGGCTGTAGGACAAACTAATAGTTGCCAATCTAATGTATATAATTTTAAAAATGAGTAATATTTAATGCTCAATACTGAATGTAAGAGCACAAAAACAAACAAACGAACAAATAAATAAATAAACAATTTATTCGTGAAATAATACTGAAATGAAATGAATTCATTACTATTGTATTGTTGTTGTTGTTGTTGTCTTTGGATCAATTATACGAATACATGGTATATACTTGAATTCACCAATGATCATTTGAATAAGTAATAATGTATTAAAATTAATGAATGCAATGGCGTAATGTAATACTCTCTCACTCACTGTCTCTCTCTCTCTCTCTCTGTGTATATATATATATTTCGACCGAAATGTACACCATTCATTTCAATTTCAACAGAATCATTCTATAGACCAAGGTATGGGTAATGTAAACTGAATATATTCAAAAAAACGATTGTTGATAATTTGTTACATCACTAATTTATATTGGATATTTTCATTGAGATATATGAATTGATCGTGAGTGAGCAGTAATTTTATTAAGACACGAGACTCAATGTACTGGGTTGGATTCCCAGTAGGTGACTGTCGTAGACGCACACTGCCAAATCGTCTCATTTAGCGACAAAACAGTCATCTGTCTCGTGTACTACATTCGTTGGTTAGTGATCTCATCAAAGGTTTCAATTAGTGACTTCGATTCAAGCTTGTAATGCATAGTAGTCGATTAATTCACAAATCAAACACTGATGACATTAATGTACTTTCACACTACAATCTGGTATGCATGCAACTGTTATGGCAATAAACAATTTGTCAATGAATAACAATTGTATATGTTACGTGAATATTTTCTCACCTAGATTACATGAATGGGTTATAATGTGGCTTATGATATTTCACTAATGAAAGACTGTAATCAGTGATTGTTATCAGTGCTTTAATGACTGTTTTACAATTTTCAGATAATATCGCACATTTCTGATTATCAATCTTTCTAACTGACGTCCAATCACTTCTGTAATAAACATCATGCGTGAAAGTTTTGATATAGTTGTACGAAGTGATAAATATACATTGACAGTCAAATTGTTGTACAGTGTTTCAATTATTCTGTTGATCATATGGGTGATGAACATTGTACCAAGTCTTTTTCAATGGAGAATCAATCAAATCGATCATGATGTATTACCTAAAACAATAAAATTTTCGTGCAATAATATATCTGTTCCAAACGCGTCAGATTCAGATCTTGCTAGTGTATTACACAAAATATATTCCCCTATCAGTAAAACATCTGTTCAAAAATACCCACTGAGATATAGCCTGGAAGAAAATAGACTTGAGAAATTATATGATTCATTGGGTGTGAATAAGACAGTAAGTTGACTATTAGAAATATTCTTTGATGTTGAATAGACTGACTGTCTTCTAATTAACTGATCCTTACTAAGTATTCATTGATATTTCAAAATGATCGAGATTATGTGTGCAAAATATTTGTGTACATTGTTCGATTTCATAGTAGTTTTCGTCACAGTGATCCACTCACCACCAGGTCTGTTGTTGAATCATCACAGAAACTTTGGTTGAGAGATGATGTTTGTAAGTGAAATGTGTATGGTGAG